TGCCGTGGGGGTACGTGACATAAGGTTTACTTTCTATCAGCCTTCCACTGAGTATCAATAACGATTTCATGTAATCAAACGCTGACATTCATGGGCGTATTCGACCTCCTTCAAAGTTTCGATGTGATCGATTCAGTGCGTTTGGCAAGTGTTTACCCAAAGGCTTTAGGCTTGCTTCTGGAAACGTGTAAAATGCTATTTACACTTTAAACAACAAATACAGAATGGAAACAAATAAGCAAGCATCAATTTTGGCATGTCATTTGGGACCATGTTATGACATGCGGTGAAGTGAGCAGGTTCTCTGGCTCGGTTTCATACATTCAGCACAATCCCAATCAATTGCTCGTTAGCTACGGCGTGAGATGATGTGATATGAATAATAAGTCCCACGTTGGCATTTGTGTTAAAGCCTAAGCCCCTTAATAAAACGTTTACACTGCTCATGTACTCTGTGCTGACAGGCGAGTTTTAATGAAGAAAGCCCTGCTGGCCCCTGCTGATCACACAAGATGGATTGACATGATTAGAGGAGGCTCAGGTGAGGGTGGTTTGCTCTTTACCGATTTTGGCCCTCTAGGCCTGATCAGCAAGTTTCTTCTTCCAGGAGAGCTGCACACCCCTCCCATCGGTCCGCTTTATTAAATTGGTGCGACCAGCACCCAAGGGTGTAGTGTTGACTCTTCCTTGCTCACAAGGCAGATATCAAACTGTATGGGACATAATCCATGGACATTGACATTAACATGGGTGCTGTCGACCCATGTTCACCAAGAGGAGATGGCGGCTGTGTAGTGCTAATGAAGAGCTACGAATGAATGAATGTCTAGTAACAACATTAAAGGTTATGGGGAGACTGAGTCTTTCTCTAGATGCAATGTAACCTTATTCAATCAGTTTAGTAGGCTGGAAGTGTTAAAAAGAAGCTGACACTACTTTCCTCAAAAGTAACTTTGTTACCCTAAACATCTCAATCGGAGCCAGAGGGAATCGACCTCTCGGTAAGTCCCGCCCCACCTTAGTTACTGTTGCTAACTCGGACGGACAAACGAGTAACTGTCTTACAATGACAGCTGTTAGTCAGTGAAAACCTTGTCCTAAGGGTTTTTGATAAATTTTGGAAACAGAAGGACCACCTCAAGTGGGAGGGACATTTTAAAATAATATGGTGGATAACAAGAATAATTTGGAAGCGAGGGTTTACAGATCACAATGCAAGCGGGAGAAGCCTCATGTTACGGTCGTCACGATCGCAGATGACAACATCCAAGATCAACACTACATGTACCTCAGGGTAAGATTAAATTCATTTACATTTAATCAGTTTAATATACTGTAGAGAGACACTGTATTGTAGACCTTGGTTTTTTGTGTTTTGTGAGAACAAGATGTGAGAACAGTTTGCTATTTAGGTTTGTACGTTAACATGGACTCACTAACTTTATTAAAGCAATAAGCCGGTAAAGCCTTGTTTTACAGTGAATTTAGAACAGCTAAGACGCGTTGTTAGGCACTGCGCAGATTGGAGAACAGCTAAACCCCCTTAGCTGTACAAAATTCACTGTAAAACACTGCTTCAAGGGGCTTATTGCTTTTATAAAACGGTTACTCTATAAAATATTCATTTGAATTTTTTTTAAATATTTTTTTTTTATTCATAAAATAAACACCAGCAACAAAAAATACAACGTTGTTGCACATTTATTCCTCCGCCAAGCAATGTAGTTCCAAAGAGGTTGCCAACACATCCAGTAACAAATAATCACAAACGGCAGTTAGTAATACTAATGTTATACGGTCACAGTTGTATGTTTGTTGAGTAATTTACAACGGCTTTGAATGCGGCTCAACCAATCAGAATCAAGGACCTGAACTAGCCGTTTTATAATCACACTTTTGAAACGTGTGCAGTATGGGGATTCAATACATGAATAGAGAGCCTAAGTCCCTCCCCTTCCGCTTCCAGCTCATGGGACCTTATTTCGGGGAAAAAAAAATATGTATGGTAGTCAATGGCGAGTGACTACTTATTTTTTTATTCCATCTGAACTGTGCCCTGAATTACACATATGATGTTTGTCAATTAAAAAGATAATTATGAAAGTCAAGAAAGTCGCAGTTTGTTATAAAACAGAAGAGTAACTTTTAGTTTTATGTGAAAATCTCCCGGGAAGCGAAACAACAAGCGAGATCCCTTGCTCATGTGTGTGTGCAGTCTGGTACAAAACACTCAGGTATGATGACGTAACGGCGTAAGTTTATGATTATAACAGACTGATCTCATGAAGTAGCGTGTGTATGACACGGCAATTCGTATTTCCATTTTTGGCGTGCTATCAAGACGCATAATCGCCTTTTAGCGTGTTTATGAACGCCGTTGACTTAACGTTATATAAATATATGACTTACCTCAACCCCGTCCCTAAACCTAACCGTCACTGGGGTTAATGGCATTTATGACTGGAGATTTGACTGCGTGTTCGGACACGCGGAATGACGCGGACGTTAATGGCGTAGACATATACGCATACACGCGGATACACGCGGATAGCTCAAAATGCGTAGAGATAACACGCCACCTGGTGCGAAAGTGGCGTATATGTTTACGCAAAAGTCATGATGTCATGTTGGATTATAACGCAAGACTATAGAAAAAATGACAGATGTTAGCTTCAGTAAAGTTCGCTTCATTCATTGAGAGAAAATGTGCGCCTTTGGGGTTTGTAGTCTTTGTAATTACGTCTTGTACCTTAACAGTTTTACGTCAAACTGCAACTTTCTAGACTTTAAATGAACAAACATCATTTGTGTAATTCAGGGCACAATTCAAACTAGATCTAAAGAATTGTTGTCTCTCGCCATTGCCTACCAAACAATATTTTTTCCGAAATAAGGTCCCATGGTGGTCGACCGAGCCCGTTCTCATCCCAAGGCGTCATATACGACTCTTTTGCCAAAGCGTAGACATCCAAAGCACATGGCATCCTATAGCGTCAATATGTGACGCAGATATCAGTGATGCGCGGGTTAATGTATAAACAACCCGCAACCGACCGACGTTTTCAACTACCCGCCCGCAACTCGGACCGCAAAAAAAAGTAAAAAAAAATATTGTACCCGACCCGCTTCCTGACCGCATTTTTTTAAAGTAGTAAATGCTCATCGGAGCGTTATTGGGCCATAGACGTATAACAACACAGCGTCGCAAGAAGACGTAGGCCTACACATAACAAAGGCAAAGCCAGCACTTTGGTCATCATCTTTCATTATTTCAGCAAAAGTCTCCCGCACTTTTACTCTTTCTATTTGTGTATTTGGGCTGCTTCCACTCCCCAGTCTTCACCTTTTCTCTTGCCGCCATCTCTCTGCAGACTGTAGTGATCGTAGACATGGCCGGTTCGTGAACGAATCGTTCTTTTGAACCGGTTCTTTTTAGTGAACCGGTCGAACCAGTTCACTAAATCGAACTGAATCGTTCGAAACAGTTCGCGTCTTGCGTCAGTGCTGCTGATCCACAAGTTACTAAAGTTACTCACTTTCAGACAAGCCTGACAGTCGCCTCCGAATCGAAATAAATCAATATCCTCAATTATATTTTACTCCAGTAACTCCAACAGTTCACTGAACCGAGACATGTTGGTGCCACTGTTGAGAGAAGTGATGAGCACGAGCAGCTGATACTGCGTACTACCGAACGCACAGGGACAGCGGTTCTCGAATCACCAGTAGGCTATAGAACCGAGAACTGTTTAGACTGAGCTTGTGTGTTATCTTCGTGCCAGTTATTCAGCCAATAATGTGTAGGGCTGTTAAATTTTTACATTACATTTTTAACCCAACATTTCGGGTTTGTCCATATTTGACCCAAAATTGGGTTAAAACAACCCAGCATTTTTTAGAGTGTATAGTGGTCTAACCCTAACCCTACCCCAGACCTAAACCTACCATAACCGAAGCGTCTAATTTGACGCTAAAGGGTGCCATGTGCGTTGGATGAATATGCTTTGGCAAAAGAGTCGTATATGACGCCTTGGGATGAGAATGCATTGGTCGACCAGAGGGGGACGGACTTAGGCTCTCTATACACATGCCCATCTTCTCAGGATACCTGGAATCAGGGTTACAAGTACTCCAGCCCCATTTTTGTAGCATAAACACCATCAAACTGATGAGAGCTTCGGATATTCCAGAGTTCGGATGTCAGAGTTCAAGTCCCAGTGCAAATTATACTCAACTGCCATTGGCTCATTTGCGTTCAAGGGGAGGGGCTTACCGATAGGTCAGTTATTAAAAGCAGCTGCTGTTAGAATTTCCTTTCAATAGCCATGAATAGCTTCAATTCAGAAACATAATTACATAGTTGCAATACTGTTGCATTTGTATTCAAGTCACTCTACTGTAAATTCAAAGAAATCTCAGCAAACAAACTAGGATGCATATGCAATTCCAAAAAAAAAAAAAAACATCTGTCAAAATCTGCCCGACACATCTTTGCGAATCTACTCTACGAATATGAAAAAGAGAAACACTAGAACCCTTTCATTCCAACCAAACCATGCATAGCCAATTCCAAACCCTGTGTTTTCATGTATGTCTTGAAGATGAAATCACAGAAGAGGTGAACGTTTTGAATTTATCATTGTAGCTTTTCGAAATGGTGGACCGCATCTAGATTAAGGAAGCACAATAGGAGAGGGATTTCCGCATTGCCCCTCTGGGTAATAAACCTGCAGTCTGATGAAATGAGATGAGGAGATGTGGAGTGAATCACACTTCAGCATTTAAACTCTGAAATGACAGCCATGCCACTCTCAAAAGGAGACACTGATGGACACATTCACTTTGTCTATATTCATAAACAGACCATGAACAGTCACGTCACAAAATACCTTGAGACCGTTCGACAAACTCAATCCAGGTCTCATTTCAGCACATAAGGAAAGCTGTGTTAGCACAGATGTGACTGGGGTGTGATGTGAGCAAGAGGCAGCAGCACATACTGAGTCTGGGTCGCTGATGGACACTTGCTCAGAAAAGCGCACTTTGGGGGGATTGGTTCGCAGACGAGCTTTCTTGGCTGCACTTATGAAGGCAGACTTAGGTGACTAAGGAAAGACAAAGAGAGGGTGGGAAGAAAGAAAGAAATAGACAGGAAAACTGAAGTTAAGACTAGTTTTATTTAGATAAATAGCTTTAAACATAAAAAAATAGTGGCAACACTTTACAATAAGGTTCGTTAGTTAACATTAACTAATAATGAACTGCACGTATACAGCATTTATTCATCTTTGTCATACGAATCTATATTAAAATCTTGTTAACGTTCGTTAATGCACTGTGAACTAACATGAACAAACAATGAACAGCTGTATTTTTATTAACTAACGTTAACAAAGATTAACAAATACAGCAACAAATGGATTGTTCATGTTAGTTAAAACATTAACTAATGCCAACTAATGAACCTTATTGTAAAGTATTACCAAAATACTGAAAGATTTGTTTTGTGAAAATATATCTTGATTTATTTACCCCATTGGAAAATAGTTTGTCTTTTTGTTTGTTTTTTTCTCACAATTTTTTGTAATGCTTAAAACAAGACAAAACATTGCCATTGGGGTAAAGAACTTAATTCAATATATATTTTATGCAAACAAATCTTAATATCTTCTTAAGTTAAAAAAATATATATTTTTAAGACATTTTTACTGGAAAACAAGACAAAAAATGAATACAATTGTTTTAGGAGTGTATATTTGAAATCTTTGAATACATTTTGGTAATTCAGACTGCTAAAGCCCACACTTCAGGCCTTCGATGCAACAAACACATCATGTGTTGCTTTGACCCCCAAAAAAAGCATTAGAACGGCTTCATATTGATTAATTTCCATAGAATATCTAATGTGTTTACTCTATATGCTGATTATTCAGTTTTAAAAGAGTTCACTTTTCAAAAAACGTTTGCTGATAATTTACTCACCCCCATATCATCCAAGATGAATCTTTTCCCGAGTCAATTTGTTCATTTCGTTTGTTGAATGAACCAAATGACTCGGAAAAAGATTCATTCATTTTGATGAACGAGTTCGAACAGGAGAGTCACGAACGCGCATCACAGAACAGAGCAAGGCAACCATTTGAGCTTATAAAACTTAAACTTTGTTATTTATTTATTAAATGAGCGATCGTTTCGCATTCATCGTCTGGAATCGTTTGAAGCCCTTTGAACAGTTTGCAGTTTGCACTGAAATTCACTGAAAGTCTTTTGGACCTTGAACCGTTTGGTTCCCACTGAAGTCAATTATATGGAGAAAATCCTGGAATAATTTCATCAAAAACCTTAATTTCTTTTCGACTGAAGAAAGAAAGACATGGACATCTTGGATGACATGGGGGTGAGTAAATTATCAGCAAAAGTTTTTTCAAAAGTGAACTACTCCTTTAATATCATGATATGGTTGTACTACTGGAGCTGTATACACAGAGGATCAGTTTTTCTTGTCAACAGTGAGGATCTGATTCGGCCCTGCAAGCTCAGTGGCAATCAGGTCAAAGTTTAAATTGTTTAAACTTTTGAGTGCTGTAACAGCGTTCCACCTGCTTGCAATGTGGCAGCGTGTGTAAAGCTGTAGCTTGGTACTTTGCTCCACTGAGCTCAAGGCATTGGGGAATGTTGACACAAATCATGTGAGCCTTAAAAGAGACATTTCACATGACATATTGACTCCTGAGATTTAGTCTCAGTGCTCTAATTATATAAGAAATGTAACTTTGGCACAAAGCAAATGGTGTGTTTATGTACACAAAGCTACACCTGAGTTTTTAATTCCAGTAAAAATGTACAGACTATATTGAAATTGGCATAGTAGTTTGACTATGGCACTAAAAGGGACTGATGTAATTTCGAATGGAGAAGACATAATGTCCTTAACTACCTGTTGTGGTTGCAGCACAGTGAGAACAATCGAATCCTTGCACCGCCTGCAGAAGAAAAAGACATTTTGGCTAGTGAGCTGTAGAATGCAAAAAGGTTGTCTTATCTGAAATGAATTCTCTTATCTGATGGAGACACATGGAATAGAAATACATTAAGCACAGTCATGCGTCCAGACAAGGCCCTTCCCTCTGGTGACAGTAAAGGGTGTTACCTTACAAGGTCTATGACTTTCTCCCGGTGCGCGTCGCTCACAAGTTCCTGGTTGATGGCTAGGATCTGATCTCCGGGGTAAAGCTTGCCACTTGATGGTCCGTCTGTAAAGGAGACATGTTAGAAACTTGTGTTGTACTTGATGCCTGATGGAGTTGATTGTTAAAGTGCCCCTATTTTGCTTTTTCGAATATTACCTCTCTTCTATTGTGTAACACTAGCTGTTTGTGAATGTAAAGGGTCTAATAGAGGATCAAATTGCACAACAAATAAAGTTATTGTCTCCCAAAAGAAAGAATCGATTCTAAACTGCCGAAATGAGTCATCAGCAATTCCAGTTTTACTTCCTGTTACATACTTATGGTACAATCAAACAAATTTGCATAATGTCAGTCCGGTTGGCTGCCCGCGAACAACGCCTACATTGACCCGCCCTTAAACACTGTAGTTGAAGCTGAGGTCGAGGAAGAGTTTGATTCGTGTTGTATCAATGTGTATCAAGTTCTGAGGACGTCTCCGGAGCTGAAATTCAGATTGAAACTCGTTTCCGAAACGCTCTGTAAGCGGTAAACCAATCACAACAGACAGGGACATCTGACCAATCAGAGCAGTGTAGACTAATCACAACAAGACTAATCACGACCATAATGAGTGACTGTCAAATGACACTTGAGAGCCATGACTACACTGTAGCAGTTACTGTTACACTATTTAACCTGCAAACTAGCTAGCCTGTTAAAAACACCAAGCTTACATTACCTACTATTCCCCACCAATTCACAAGCACAAGAGAAAAAGTATTTTGTACTTACATTTAACACCCCTGGAACTCAGTGGAAGTTGACTGAAGATGGCATAGTTGGTCGTGTTGTTACAACCAGTCAACTGAACCAAGAATCTTTTCACAAAACTGACAAAACCTTGTCAAACTGTCAAAATCCATCAACATTCTGTGCATGAGCTGCTTTCAGACATTCTAACTGAAAGTGGGTGAATATCAAAACACATGATAGAAACATTTTGTTAAAACACTTGCAAGTGTTATGTTGACAACATTATTGAAACAATTACTTTTTATTGAGACCTTACATGAATAGATAGATAGGCCATTTGGCCCTGGACTAATAGGGTATTCTATTTGTCCATTCTATTGACTCTATTCTATTTTGAAGACTGCACAAGTCTAATTTAAGGCTCTCACAAATAAATGGTGTGGGTATATTATACATTTTCTGAGTCATCGGAGTGCCTTGAGCATTGAAGTTGAGTTTTGTGTACCTGGTGTTCTTTCATGCCACTGGAGTAAAAGAAAGCATACAGTTTAGGCAGAAATTGTGAAAAAAATGTGTGTTATTTTTGGTTTAAACAAGTCATGTGACCTCTGTGTTTGTCAGACAGATTCAGTCCTGGGGTTAAATGAAAGCCTAAATGGTTCCCTCTTCAATGATACCAAGCACCATAGTTTAGAATATTGACAATATCTCTAGCATGAGCCTGAAACCAGATATAAACCAGATTTCAAAAACTGAATTTATTTTAGAGTGTTAATAACTTCACAAACTGAAAAAAAGTCTGGGCCGGCCCGTAGTATAGGCGACAAAATGCGCGCGAACGAGTGATTTTTTTTTTTTACTAATAATTTTTTTAATTTACTGATTGTAGACCAATCACAACAGACTGGTCAATCTGACCAATCAGAGTTGACCGATCAAAGCAGACTGGGTCAGAGCAGAGTAGACTAATCGAAGCAGACTTGGCCATCTGACCAATCAGAGCAGAGTAGACCAATCACAACAGACTGGACCATCTAACCAATCAGAGCAGAGTAGACTAATCACAACAGACTGGGCCATCTGACCAATTAGAGCAGAGTAGACCAATCACAACAGACTGGGTCATCTGACCAATCAGAGCAGAGTAGGCCAATCACAACAGACTGGGCCATCTGACCAATCAGAGCAGAGTAGGCCAATCACAACAGACTGGGCCATCTGGCCAATCAGAGCAGAGTAGGCCAATCACAACAGACTGGGCCATCTGGCCAATCAGAGCAGAGTAGACCAATCACAGCAGACTGGGCAATCTGGCCAATCAGAGCAGAGTAGACCAATCACAGCAGACTGGGCAATCTGACCAATCAGAGCAGAGTAGACCAATCACTACAGACTGGGCAATCTGACCAATCAGAGCAGAATAGACCAATCACAACAGACTGGGCCATCTGACCAATCAGAGCAGAGTAAACCAATCACAGCAGACTGGGCCATCTGACCAATCAGAGCAGAGTAGAGCAATCACAGCAGACTGGACCATCTAACCAATCAGAGCAGAGTAGACTAATCACAACAGACTGGGCCATCTGACCAATTAGAGCAGAGTAGACCAATCACAATAGACTGGGTCATCTGACCAATCAGAGCAGAGTAGGCCAATCACAACAGACTGGGCCATCTGACCAATCAGAGCAGAGTAGGCCAATCACAACAGACTGGGCCATCTGGCCAATCAGAGCAGAGTAGGCCAATCACAACAGACTGGGCCATCTGGCCAATCAGAGCAGAGTAGACCAATCACAGCAGACTGGGCAATCTGGCCAATCAGAGCAGAGTAGACCAATCACAGCAGACTGGGCAATCTGACCAATCAGAGCAGAGTAGACCAATCACTACAGACTGGGCAATCTGACCAATCAGAGCAGAATAGACCAATCACAACAGACTGGGCCATCTGACCAATCAGAGCAGAGTAGACCAATCACAACAGACTGGGCCATCTGACCAATCAGAGCAGAGTAGAGCAATCACAGCAGACTGGGCAATCTGACCAATCCGAGCAGAATAGACCAATCACAGCAGACTGGGCCATCTGACCAATCAGAGCAGAGTAGACCAATCACAGCAGACTGGGCAATCTGACCAATCAGAGCAGAGTAGACCAATCACAGCAGACTGGGCAATCTGACCAATAAGAGCAGAGTAGACCAATCACAGCAGACTGGGCAATCTGACCAATTAGAGCAGAGTATACCAATCACAGCAGACTGGGCCATCTGACCAATCAGAGCAGAGTAGACCAATCACAACAGACTGGGCCATCTGACCAATTAGAGCAGAGTATACCAATCACAGCAGACTGGGCAATCTGACCAATCAGAGCAGAGTAGACCAATCACTACAGACTGGGCAGTCTGACTAATCAGAGTTGACCAATCAAAGCAGACTGTGTCAGAGCAGAGTAGCTGTCGGTAAGGAGGGGTTAGAAAGACTCTTTGAGAAATTTGAGATGATGTGCAATGTTTTTTTTTATCAGAAAATGAATGTTTTTTTTATCTTTGATGAATGAGACTCCAAAGCAAAATTAGGAACATTTAAAATTGTCAATAGCATAATAAGGGCACTTTAAAACCCATGACATTCTCGTCTTCTGCTTTACCTGTACTAAAATACATGTTGATATACAGTAGATCACAGAATCATTGTAGTTACACTTCTTTCCTAAGTCAAGTTGTAATAACCTACATCCTACAGTGGATTTTCACACTTATCTTATCAAGGCATCAAACAGAAACATAATCATACACCTCAAGTATCTGAATTCCCATTTGATTAAAGTCATCTAAAATCTGAACGACTCCAAAGCCTTTAAAAAGAGATGAAGCTGATTGGCTGGCACAGCACAGCCAGGGGACAGTAGACATCTGGCCCACAGAGACGTGTCTTACCCGCTGAGACAGAGCGAACAACGACAGGCCGTTCGCTGCCGGCAATGAAACCGAAGCCGTGGCTTGGATGGCGCTGGATGCAGACCTGTCGAGCTGAGCCAGGAGTCAGGCTACCACTGTCCATGCCATCCTGACTGTCCTCTAACATCACAGAGCTGAGGAACAAGACAACAGAGGACTCCAGTATCCAAGAAGGAAATCTCATTTCTAGGCTGACAAAAATGGTGAACATGCTTTTTACTGTCCCCTATTTGCATAACTAGCCCAGCACAAGGACAGGCGATTACATTTATACAGAGAGTTTTCTCAGTATCTCGCATAACAGCTGCTCAATAATAAAAACATCAATGCTCTGTGCCATTTTTTGATTCAGTGTAGTGTAGATGAGGTCATTTCCTCGCTGCGTGTGTGGAGATAAGGTGATGCCTCTTTTATGTTGCTCGTTGTTCTCATTTGACATAAGAGGCTTATTAATGACTGCACCTGTCATATTCCTCTGTGTGCCCATCCTGGACCCGGGCCATCCCCTGAAAGGACAGAACCGGACTGGGTGAACCGCTTCAGGAGGCTGGCTCTGTTTTGTACACATTCACCTGCGAGGAAAAAGAAGAGAAAAGATGTAATTGATAAGAGTTCGTATGATGCATTTTTTTTAAATCACTTATTTTGTTTTAATGATAACACATTTCCCCCCCCTTCAAATGGGCACAACCACACTCCATTTTACAAATAAATGTATTACAGTATATCAAACCGTAACATGGGTAGGCAACAGTTCCCTTTCGTAGTCACTTCAAGTTACGTCAGAAGTGACGGAGATTGGGGGTTTCGCATAGAAAGCCAATCTCCGTCACTTCTGACGTAACGTCTCCGTTCCCTACTCAGGGAACGAGGGTTACATCCGTAACCGAGACGTTCCCTTTCGTAGTCACTTTGAGTTACGTCAGAAGTGACGGAGATTGGCTTTCTATGCAAAACCCCCAATCTCCGTCACTTCTGACGTAACGGAGATTGGCTTTCTATGCAAAACCCCCAATCTCCGTCACTTCTGACGTAACGTCTCCGTTCCCTACTCAGGGAACGAGGGTTACATCCGTAACCGAGACGTTCCCTTTCGTAGTCACTTCGAGTTACGTCAGAAGTGACGGAGATTGGCTTTCTATGCGAAACCCCCAATCTCCGTCACTTCTGACGTAACGTCTCCGTTCCCTACTCAGGGAACGAGGGTTACATCCGTAACCGAGACGTTATTTTTTTAAAGGTAATAGGAGGGAAAAATATGATCAAATATATTATTCCTATTCTTATATTCCTATTCTCCAGGTTGCTTTCCTGTATCCTTAATAAACATCAAATATTTGCCTCACTCTCTCCATTAAATGTCTATCATTTCAGGTAACTTATAAGACATTGTTTCATATGCTGTCACCTTCCTGTCAAGATTATGTTGAGGGTTTTTTTTGTCTTCTTGTTCAGGTGTCTGTTTCTTGTTTCCATTCAGTTTTCCACGTACTTGTCAAAACACGAATAATACAAAAACGCTGTATTATTCATGCCAAGCCAGTAGTTGTCAATGTCACTTTGTAAAGAAACACTATATGCCCATTGACACGTAGGCTAATACACATGCGCGTATGACATCAACATTTTCACAAATTTGTATTTTAGTAGTTCGCACAGAGGCGACGACGGTATTATTTTTAAAAACATGCACTTTAAAAGCCGTTTCATAATTTTGAGTTTTCGTAGTCGTAGAAATAAATGACCAAATGCATAAAAAGTTTAACATTTTTACTTGAAAACGGTGTTGTGTAAATGCCTCCTTAGTTTGTGTTTAACTTTTCTTTTGTCAACATTTCCTTAGTTACTTTTGAGTATCATCGGTGTCTCATTTCAGCGCAGTCTTTTGACCATGCGTCAACATCCGCCTTTTTAGGGTACCCTTCAACGTCGATTAGATGACGTTATCGGATCCTAACCCTACCCCAGACCTAAACCTACACCGTCACCTAACCGACGTTAAAGGTAAAGCGTCAGTTGTATGACGGCCCGGGATCGTCATGTAACCGACGTTTAAGGGTACCCTAAAAAGGCGGATGTTGACGTATGGTCACAAGACGTCCCAAGACGTCAGTTATATGACTTCTTGGGATGAGACTGTGTTACTCATTTAATTCCCTCGTTGACTTGTTTTCTCATGTTGTAGTCATCCACCTTCATTCATCTTCGGAATATGAATTAAGATATTTTTGATGAAATCTGATAGCTGGATAACTCCTCCATACTAGTCCATAGACTTCTTGAGGGATTGAAACTTGCCGGCCTCGAAAAGTTATTAAAGACATGGTTAAAATAGTCCAAGTGACTACAGTGGCTCAATTTTAACTATCAAGCGACGAGAATACTTTTTGTTCGCAAAAACACCCACAAAAATAATGACATTATTTCAACTATTCATCAGCCCTCGAGTCAGGTTACTAGTTTAACAGCATATGATCCGTTATTGTACGTCACACGCATCACACATGACCAGCGTCGGCCAATAGTGAGCCTACGTGTGATGTAGCTCTACGCTATCACACTACGTTAACTGACTAGATGCCCATAGAGAAGGAAGTGAATAGTTGAAATAAAGTCGTTATTTTTTGTTTGTTTTTACGCGCAAAAAGTATTCTCGTCGCTTGATAAAGTTACGATTTTAACGAAGTCTTTAATAACTTATCGAGGCCGGCAAGTTTCAATCCCTCAAGAAGGCTATGGACTAGTATGCAGGAGTGATCCAGCTCTCAGATTTCATCAAAAATATCTTAATTTGTGTTCTTAAAGATGAACGAAGGTCTTACGAGGTTGGAAAAAACATGAGGTGAGTAATTACTGACACAATTTTCATTTTTGGGTGAACTATCCCTTTAAAAGTATCTTTAGTGTTATCTCTGCGTCATGCATCTCATTCAGATCACGGTGTGACACTTCCCCAATTCTCTAACCCATCTCCGCTAACCGCTAGCCTCGTAAATCGTAACAATTTGTCTCTCTATCATAATACCTTTTTGGATCCATTTGCTACTCTCAATAGTAACACTTAACTTGCATAAGGGGTGTGCATAAGACTGACATGACACCTTCATAATCATGACGTGACATATTATGAATATGAACGAGGTTTATGCATATTTATGACAAATGTCATTAAGTGTCATTCGCTCAGTTATGACATTTTGAATGCAAATATGACATTGTTTAAGATGTCTTTGTTATGACACCTTAGCATAAACCAATAACATCATAACCTGTCAGTGTCTTGGTAATGATAACTTGACATTAACAAGACATCATAAATTGTCATAAATATGTCATAAACATGACATAGCAGATTAATTATCAAACTTAAGAAAGCACTTAGCTTTATTTATAACATAACATTAAACTGTCATGTGGTTGGCTTTGACATTGACAATGGCCTCATGACAGCCAATGCCAAAACCAGTCACATGACAGTTTAATGTAATGTTAACCCATAAAGCTAAGTGGTTTCTTAAGTTTGATAATTAATCTGCTATGTCATGTTCATTATATTTTTTATGACTGGTTGTGTTGTCTTATTAAGTTGTCATGACAAAGATATCTCAAACAATGTCGTATTTGCATAATCAATGTCACGATTGAATGAATGACACTTTGTTGTCATAAACATGCATGAGACCTCCTTCATATGTCATGTCATGGTTATGAAGGTGTCATGTCGGTCTTATGCACACCCCTTCAAGTAAAGTGTTACCCTCACATCGCCAAAATTCAGCAGAGTCCGATAAAACCAAGTCTGAATAACCTGCTAGTAGTCCAATAATAGGGATTTGAATTGTGTTATAGATTTGAATTGCAATAACACAAATCTCTGTCATACACTTCTTTTGGCAAAAAAAGTGTTATCATTTAGTTATATTTAGCTGATGACTTTTTTCCACTCTAATTCTCTGACGATTACAATTAAACAGGCTACATTAAATTATGACAAGCTCACACAACGAATGGCTTTAATATCCAATGAGGCTACAACCAACAAACAATAAACCAGCCATTTCTGATAACATTTAATTATCTGTTTAGCATATAATCCACAGAATGTCATCGCTATGTAGGTTTCCAGTGCTTACGCCAATTTGTTCTGCAAAATTAATTACTTCTCTGTTTCATCCGACTCGTATGTGTGCTATCTTAGTTAATAATTCACATGTAACTGTTATTGTACATTGCTAGTAATGCATGTGTCTCTCTGTTAAAGTCATGACTTATGTAAAAGACTTGATTAGTAAACAGAATATTCAAAGCCCTTATGGAATACTCTAAGATACATTATGCAAAAAGCATTTAAATCTCTTAGAGCCAGTGTGAACCTGCACATCACTCAAGGCCACACAAATAATAGATTTCAGCCGAGACTTGTTTTATTCCGTGCAGTGGATTTACTCAGAGAGTGAAAGAACGAGACAAAGCAAGTGAAATATTGCAGGCCAGGCCGAGATTGCTGGCGTCTGCCGGTGAATATGCCACAACAAAGTGACAATCTTCAGTCATCATGCGCCTCCCGGCAGTTTCTGAAGGTCACGGCTACAGTACATCGGCTTGTTTATTCACCCCAGACTCTTTTTAGCACTTTCTTCCCTCTGTATGTTATAAACACTCCGGGCTGCTGTGGAAATCGGTATTTAAGCCAGCAGTAACCTTAACATCACCCAGCACGATGACTCATGTGCTGTAGGGGAACTGCACTCTGGATGGGACGGGAAGTGTCACGAGGGTTTACTTTCCATCAGGTGAATGCCATGATACATGTTAATGCGTGTGAAGACCTCTGGCCAGTATGGATGGATGAGAGATGTGGATCTTCTTCACCAAGAAGCATGGCATCCTCCGGTCATCACCAGCACAGTCCCAGCAATGATATACAATGAAGTCATGAGTTGAGCAAAGTTGACAACTTAACAACTTACACTAAAGTACTATGAACAATATACAATAAGTATGGTACATTTATGCATAAAAATCATATTTGGCCTAGAAACTTGACAAAGTATGACGTTATTGGTCAGAGGTTACTATTTCACATCTACACAGCAAAATCCCCAGTGTTAAATTAACACTGAGAGTGTGGATTATATAAATTCCGAGCAGAGTGTTAAATGAACACTGAATCAGTGTTAAAGTTAATGAGATAATTAAGTGAATAATTGAGTGATGATTGAGCATTATTGAAGACACCTGATGTTAACAAGCAGAATCACTGAAGGAGAAAAACAGAATTTTAAGTCACCATTATGGAGATCAGTGTTTGGTTTAGTTGGGCTCTTGACCCTTATTTCTTTAACTTTAGATTTTGTTTGGCTGCTGTACATGAGTTATAACAGCCAGATGAACAAATAGAAAAGGTGATCTGATGGTGATGGTTGTGTTTTAACATAATCATTTAACCTGAATCACTGAATTTATATAGATTCTAATTTCTGAGTGAGGTTTACTTTATTAA